GGTTTCCTGCCTAGGCAGGGGGTTGGACTAGAAGACCTCCAAGGTCCCTTCCAACTCTGCTATTGTATTATTATAAGAAGCAAGAAAAAAATAAATATTTTGTTGGAAACGGATAAGGCTGGTTTTTATTTAAGATTCCAAAATATTGAGGAGGAAAAGGAAGAGAATCTAGCACAAAAAATCGCCAACATATTGGTGGACGGACTGGAAGAATCCAAGGAAAAGATGCTAAGCGGGATTGATGAAACTTACAGGGTCCATACAAGATATGCTACAAGAAATGAACTACCCAGAGAGGTACATGTAAGATTTACTAAGAAAACACTGAGAACAGAGATCCTGCAAGCAGCAAGGAATACTACAATAAAATACAAATATAAAGAAATAATAGTCCTGGGATGGCGAACGTATGGCATGGGTGCCACAGGTGGCACGCGGAGCCATTTGTGAGTGCACGCAAGGCGTTGCCCTGTCAGCTGGCCAGCGCGCATGCGCACGCTGGCCAGCTGGCTTCAGCCTTTTTTTTTAGGCCATTTTTCGCCCTTCCCAGGCTCCAGAGGCTTTATAGGAGCCTGGGGAGGGCAAAAACAGCCTCCCCCGCCCCTCCCAGATGCCCTCCAGAGGCTTCAGAAGCTTCCCTGAAGCCTCTGCAGTGAAAAAAACAGCCCTATGGGCAAACCGAAAGTTCAGGAAAGGACTTCCGGTTTGCTCATAGGGCCAGTTTTAGCCCTCCGGAGCCTTCAGGGGCCTTCTGGAGGCTTCCTTGAAGGCTCTGGAAGGCAAAAAAACGACCCTACGAGCAAACTGGAAGTGATTTTTGGTTTGTCCATAGGGTCGTTTTCGTCCTCCGGAGCCTTCAAGGAAGCCTCCCTGAAGGCTCCGGAGGACTAAAAACAGCCCTATGGACAAACTGGAAGTGACCGGACGCCTCTGGAGCCTGGGGAGGGTGAAAAAAGCATGCAAAAAATGGGGGGGGGAGCGCTGGTCATGCACGCATGAGCGCTGCAGTCACGCATTGCATTATGGGTGTGGCATGCCTGCGCACGACACCCCCCGCTTTTGGCACACGAGCCAAAAAAGGTTCCACCTCACTCTAATAGTCCTTAAACAAGTGCCAAGAAGGGTGAGAGAGCTAAGAAGAGAATATCAATTTCTGACCAAATGCCTAATAAAAAAAGGAATTAACTTCNTCCCCCCACTATGAGAAGAGGCGTATCAGGTAAGTACCAACGCCCTTTTCCATCATCTGGGATAAGGCGGTGAGCTCCAGGTTTGACAATAAATAAATAAATAATGTTCCATTGTTACAAATTCTTTCCGGTAACCCCTATTTAAAAGTCCAGTAATTGTCTTCATTTCAAGCCATTTTACCTTCTGAAAAGGTAAGAGTTCCAATTTGAGTTTGAGTTCCAATTCCTGCTAAAATACACTAGTTCTTCATCTGCCACAGAGAAAGTACCCCCTTATGAAATCTTGAGAAATTGACCGTTGGCTTACCTGAACGGTCATTCTCTGGGCACTGCGGGAGAGTCCAAGCATGGGTTAAATTCAATCTATCTGCCCTAGGACTGAGTAGATTTTTCTTTAGCCACGCCTCCTGTGCCTCATTGAGGTCAGTTTAAACACGAAGGTATTATCCGGTGCAGGATGTATTCCTGATGCTCTCGATACTGATAATGAATCCTGAACACCCAGATGAACTCTCGGCGGGTTTGGACTCTCCCGCAGCACCCGGAGAATGACCGTTCAGGTAAGCCAACTGTCATTCTCCTGTGTGCTGCTTGGAGAGTCCAAGCATGGGACATACCCAAGCTATTTTGTCCCAGGGAGGGAAGAGTTAGTGTCCAGGTTGTCCGTAGTTGAGGCTACTCTCTGCAATACTTGTATTCCAAAGGAGGCTGAGGCAAAAGAGTCAATTTTGTAATTTCTGATTAATGGTGTGGGGGATGCCCACGTAGCCGCTCTGCATATGTCAACGATGGAAGCTTGGGTTGCCCAAGCTGCCGTAGTGGCAGCGCTCCTCGTGGAGTGCACCGTTACGTGAGCTGGTACGCCCCTGCCCTGATGTTCATAGGCCATCTTGATACAGGCCTGTAGCCAACGTCCAACAGTAGAAGAGGAGACCTTATGGCCCATCGACCCCGGTTGAAATGAAACAAAGAAGGATTCGGATCGCCGAAATTCCTTCGTCCTTTTTACGTAAGTTTACAGTTTGCCGAATGTCCAATTTGTGCCAAGATCGTTCCTTGGGATGTTGAGGGTGAGGGCAAAAGTCGGGGAGTATCATCTCCTGGGCCCTATGAAAGTGAGTGTTGACCTTTGGTATAAACGTGGGATCGAGTCGCAGAATGACCCGATCACTGTGAATTATACTCAGGTCCTCCTTGACTGATAGCGCTGCGAGCTCTGATACCCTCCTAGTGGAGGTAATTGCTACTAGGAAGGCAGTTTTTAGAGTCAGGTGACGAAGACTGGAAGTTTGAATGGGTTCGAAAGGTGCATTTGTCAAGGTTCGCAGAATGTATGGTAAATCCCAGGAAGGGTATCTATGTACAATTTGGGGGCGAAGATTGGATGCGCCCGTCAGGAAACTTGACCTGAGGATGTTGACCCAGGGACTGAGAAGCACCCCTCACCAGGATGGTGGACAAGGCTGAGACCTGGCGGGGGAGGGTGTTGTGTGCTAGCCCTTTGTCCAACCCCTCCTGAAGAAAATCTAGGAGTTGAGGAATGGACGTCGATATGTCCTCGATGCCATGCTCGCTGCACCAGGTAGAAAAAACAACCCAAGTTGTGTCATCTATATGAAAGCGGTGGATGGTTGTCTGGACGCTTGAATGGTCGTGATGACCTTGTCAGAGAGATTATGTTTCCTCAGGAGAGCCCCCTCAAGAGCTAGACGGCCAACTGGAACCACTGGGGGTCCGGGTGGTTGATGGCCCCCTGGCTGAGGGAGATCTGATCCTGAGGGATTCTCCACGGCTTCTGGATGGAGAGGCTGACAAGGTCCGCGTACCAGGACCTCCTGGGCCAGTGCGGGGCAACCAGCAGAATTTCTGCCTCCGCTAGAAGTTTGGTGACTACCTGCGGAATGAGCGGGAGGGGCGGGAACGTGTAAAGTCCCGAGGGCCATCTGCCCCTCAGCGCATCCGTCCCCTTCGCCTGGGGCGAGTGGTAACGCGAATAAAACCTCGGAAGGTGCGTGTTGGCTTCAGTGGCGAACAGGTCGACTTGTGGGAGTCCGAATCTCCGAGGTGCCACTCAAGAGTTGTTGATTGTCTGGCGACACAAGTGGACAAGTGGATGATGATGTAATCTAGGTAGCATTCCAGGCGTATCGGGCGGGTGTGGAGGTGAGCCGCCATAGCTGCCAGAAGCTTTGTGAAGGTCCTGGGTGCGGACGAGAGGCCAAAGGGGAGCGCCCTGTATTGGTAGTGCCTCCTGTTGTAATGGAACCGCAGGAATCTTCTGTGTGACGTATGGATGGGCACATGCAGGTAAGCTTCTTTTAAGTCTATGGAGGTGAGCAGGTCCCCCTGCCGTATGCAGCCGAGGATGGACTGGAGAGACTGCATCTTGAAGCGCTTGTAGGCCAGATGTTGGTTTAGCCACTTCAGGTCCAAGATGGCCCTCCACCCCCCTGAGCTTTTTGGGACCAGGAAAAGAATGGAATAGAATCCCTTCCTTTCCTGCTCTGTTGGTATGGGTTCTATGGCCCTTATTTGCAGAAGGTGATGGCTCTCTGCCTGCATGAGGGACCTTTTGAGGGGAGTTTTGGGGAGCGGACAGTGAACAAATGTCCACAGGGGAAAAGACAGAAATTCTAGAACGCGGCCCCTCCTGATCGTGTTGAGGACCCACGCGTCCAAGGTGATCGCCTCCCATTGGTCGGCATAAAGTTGTAGACAGCCGCCTATGGGAGGGACGCGTTGGTGGTCACTTGTTCTGTCTAAATTGGCGGTTGTTGGACCCGCCCCAAAAGGATTTCTGAAAGGAGTGTTGTTGTTGTTGCCTACCCCTGGACCCAAACGAGGTCCTGTCTTGAGCCCTGTCACCTGACTGGGAATAAGGTCTCTGGTAGGAGAAGGAGGAAGATGTTTGTGCAGTGTCTTGCTTACGAAATGGCTGCCTGCTGAAGGAGTTGGATCCCTTACGCTCGTTCTTTTTGAGCGTGGACAGAAGGACCTTTCGTTTGTCCTTCGTCTCAGTTAACAGCTTATGTCCCCAAAGAGCTGACCCCCTTTGAAGGGAGAGGCCAGCTTCCATTTGGCCTTCATATCCGCCTGCCAGTGGCGAAGCAAACTGGACAAACTGGAACTGGAACTACGAACAAACTGGAAGTCCGGTTTGCTCGTAGGGCTGGTTTAAGCCCTTCGGAGGCTTCAGGGAAGCCTCCTGAAGGTCCCTGAAGCCTCCGGAGGGCTTAAACTGACCCTACGAGCAAACCGGAAGTCCGTTCCCGAACTTCCGGTTTGCCCATAGGGCCGTTTTTTTGCGCTCCGGAGGCTTCAGGAAAGCTCCTGAAGCATCCGGAGGGCCTCTGGGGTGGGGGAGGCTCTTTTCGCCCTCCCCAGGCTCCTATAAAGCCTCTGGAGCCTGGGGAGGGCGAAAAAAGGCTTTAAAAAACGCTGAACTCAGCTGGCCAGCACGCGCATGCGTGCTGGCCAGCTGACAGGGCAATGCCTCACACGCCCTGACAAATGGCTCTGCATGCCACCTGTGGCACGTGTGCCATAGGTTCACCATCCTGGCCCTAGACCACCTCTAAAATACAAGGTTGGATCTCAAAACTGTGATGCTCCATTTTTCTTATCTTTCCCCATGACCATCTATGCCTTATCTGCCAAGGAATGGTGTGCCCCATTTGGGGCAACTGTCTCATAACATCACAGACACACACACACACACACACACACACACACACACCTTTCTTTCACTTTTTATACTTGTTTAAAACTCCTATCATTTTCAGGAACCATTTCCTTAAGCTTTAGGGTGAAGGTGTTAACACATGTCTCACTGGCTAGTATGACATGCTTGTCCCCAGTCACCTGTAGCTTGCTCCTCANTAATGTTGTATGGCCCCGGTTATGCACAGTATATATGTGACTCTATGAAAATGAAAAATGGAAAATAAAAACACATTTTACGGAAAGAAAAGAAAAGAAAATGGCACTACTTGACAGGATTAGGTCTGGGCGCGGGGGGAACCATCGCTCTAGACCCGTGATGGCAAACCTATGGCATGTGTGCCACAGGTGGCACACAGAGCCCTCTCTGCAGGCACTCCAGCCATCACCCAGCTCCACCGCGCATGCACACATGCCTCCGCCGGCCAGCTGGTCTTCGGGTCTCTGCTACACATGCGCGGGGCCTTCACCAATCTCCACAGGAATGGAAGAGAAAGCCTGGGCACTCTGGGGAGAAACTGCTCAGATCGGGGAGACAGGAATGGAGGAGAAAGCCTGGGGGCGCTGGGGAGAAACTGCAGAGATCACGAGGGTCATCCCGTCCACCCCGCACCCTGTTTTGGCCCTGAAAAGCCGCCTGCTGGAAGCCAAAATTTGCTCTGGCCGGGCAGGGCGCATGCGCAGGGGGATGCGCAAGGAACGTGGGCTCATGTATGGGGTGCATGCACAAGGGGATTGGGCCATGCACACGTGCATTCACAGGGGTGCACGCACACTTTCGGCACTTGGCACCAAAAAGGTTAACCATCACTGCTGTAGACTAATTACCAGCCTTCGGGAAACAAACAACACCAATCAAATAACAAAGCTATACAAAAGCAAACCTCAGATTTTGAAACACTGTAAAGGGTATAAAAATTTCTGTACTCACTGAGTCAGGGGTCCAGCTGACCCAGAAGCTACTGCTGTCCCAGGACCATTGGATTCCGAAATAAAACCTTTCCGAATAGCCTGCTTCCCAGTTCTTTTTCCCGCCAGTGCCAATCACTCCACCCCAGCTGCAGAGAATGAACCGGAGGAACTTTTTCTTCCAACAATATATAATGGTTAACTAATTCCTAACGCTTGTAAAATATTATGGAAAATGTATTTGAAAGTATCTATGTTAAGAGAAAGTTAAAGAAAAAGATGTATGAACTTTAAAAAAAACGATGTATACAAGAAGAAAAAAATTATTCTATGAGGGTAACTTGGAGGGAGTGATTTAATGAGGTAATTGGAGTTAGTTGGAATTTTATTGGTCTAAAAGTAAACTTTCAAAGTATGCATGTTAAGAGGAAGTTTTAAAAAAGATGTATTAGAATGTTTTGATTTTAGAAATGTTTTTAAATAAAAGTTTAGTTTTTTAAAATGGATGAAAAAACAGTATTTTTTTCCCTGTAAGGTTAAAGAATCTGAAAGAATACAGTGAATGTTATTATAAATGCTGATAGTTTATAAAGATTAGTAAGTGCAAACACATATAATTTCCACAGCAAGGAAGATGAATCAGAAATGGTTAAATGGATTGCTTTATTCAAAGAGGAGAATATATTTAATTATATTTTTTATTTGGATATCACTTCTGTCAACGCTTTTTTCTTTTTCCCTTGTACCTTGTATTTTCTTTCCTCCTCTCTTTTTCCTTACCTTAATTTCCTATTTTTATTTTTATTTGTATTTTATACTGTTGGAAGAAATGTCCATCTGGGTTCAGTTCCAAGTGGGGAAAAAGACACTGGAAACATGAAGGCTGTTTGGAAAGATGGTTTAATGGTAGACAGGACCACATGGTTTGAGGTCCTGGGCAATTGAGCACATGGGTGTGTGGGAGAGAGATTTATACCCTCTCTTGGACTTTGAACTTGCTTCCTGTTCCTGTGGCAGGGGCATCCATTCTGATTGGTTGTCAGACTCCCATGCAGGGGTAACTTCAGTGGTGGGATTCATTTACCTTCCCTACCGGCTCGCAAATGTGAGTACGCGTTCCGGTTTGGGCACTCTGTGCCGAAAAGGTTTGCCATCACTGAGCTAGAGATTCAGTTTGCTGAATTTCACTTGGAGTACAAAATGAAGCAGGGCAAAGGCTAACAGTTTTGTCAGGAGAACACTCTGGTCATAGCAAACACTCTTTTCTAACAATCAAAGAGATGACTCTACATTGACATAATTGTCAATACCAAAATCAGACTGATTATGTACTTTGCAGACAAAGATGGCAAACCTTTTAGGCACAGAGTGCCCAAACCGGAAGGTGTATGTGTGCATGTGCGCACGCACCAGAGCACTGGAAACCCGACAAGCAGCTGGCCGGCGTGCATGGGTGCCTCGGAAACCTGATGACCAGCTGGCTGAGCTGGGGCAACAGCGCATGTGCCCACAGAGAGGGCTCTGTGTGCCACCTCTGGCACATGTGCCATAGGTTCGCCATCACGGCTCTAGCTCATACTTGTTTTTCTACAGGATTACAGGTGAAACTGGAAAAATTAGAATATAGTGCAAAAGTTCATTTATTTCAGTAATGCAACTTAAAAGGTGAAACTAATATATGAGATAGACTCATTACATGCAAAGCAAGATAGTTCAAGCCGTGATTTGTCATAATTGTGATGATTATGGCTTACAGCTCATGAAAACCCCACAATCTGATATTTTCCACAATCTCAGAAAATTAGAATATTACCGGTACATGCAATCAATAAAA